CTAAATTACTGGCACTAATAAAACCATATATATGGTAATACTCTCCTTTGGTAATATGACCAAACTTAAAGAATAATTACATTTTAATTCTCAGTTATTATTCACAAGGGACCTTGTTAGGTCACCACCGATGTTTAATTAAGCTAGATATTACTGGATTTGTGCCTCTGTTGTTATGGAGCTGCCCTAACTGGTCAGTAAAGATGCAAATGAAGATGTACCTGTTCAGCTCCAACTGGACAGAGCAGGTATCAGCCCACTGGTTGAAATAGGAGTCCAGGAACTCCTTTATAAAGGTTGGCTCAGATTTTCAGAAACACAGTGCAGGAGGCTTGCCCGTGGAGTCTGTGGCTTTTCCTGGATATGCAATATGCCTGAGAGGTCTCTAGACTCTAGTTAAGAATTTGGGCCCAATTACCCACAGGGAGTCCTTCTTGGCAGATATATTCCTTGTTGGGGGCAATGCTACTCACAAGCAACAGAAGTTTAATGAGCACATACTGTGTGTATGTAGAGTACACAGAATAAATAGTTTCACATCAGAGGCAGAGTCCATTATAGAAGTTCATCAAACCAGGGGACCTGTGAAGATCCCTTCAAATACCATAGTGTTAGTAAAAATATCCATACATTTGGGTTTTCTGTTATTTTGCTATGTGTTAATTTTTTCAAAAGCCAAGAGTGTTTATTCTATTACTCATGCTGGACTTTTATTCCAAGAAAAAATACATTCAATCTATATGTAATTTATTAATGTTTTGATTATTGCTTTAAAAAAAAAAAGGTAAGAAGATCTGATGCCTCCTCTACCCAGCAAGTAGAATCACCTCTTCAGCTGAGACCTGAAAATACTGAAATACATAGGACAGTACAACAAATGCAGTTGCAGGAACGTATGTCAGTTATATATTATGAAGTGCTGTTAATTTTCTCAAGTTGAATGGCAGTTTAATAGTTACTCAGATTGTTACAATAAAAATTCCTTTTCAAAATATCAACGGTACATATTCTCTGGTACATTAATAGTTATTTAAATATATTTATATAGTAAACATGAAATCATTGAGGTGTCTGTGTTCCATTATTTGTACTACTATTCATATCCCACTTTCTAGTTAACAAGATTTTTTTAAATTTGCTTTTGATTTTAATGTATAACAATTAACTTTTTGGAAAAAATCTATAATTCATGCTTTTGTTTAGAAAAGACCTATAGCTTCCACCGAGGCTTTTTTTGTGTGTGTGTGGTAAAACATACGTAACAAAATTTAATATTTTAACCACTTTTAAGTGTACAGTTCAGTGGCATTAAGTATATTCACAGTGCTGTACAGCCATTACCACCATCCATCTCCACTTTTTCATCTTCCCAAACTGAAACTCTATACCCATTAAAGAATAACTCCCCACTTCTCCCTTCTCCCAGCCCTTGGCAACCACCAGCCAGGTTTTCTGACTGAGCATGTCTCTTCCCAGAAGAATGCCTACCCATCTGGAGACAGCCCACTGCCACCAACCTTATCCAAACAGTACAGCCCAACACAGGAAGGCCCTCATTCCCAAAGGGGATACGGGTGACTTTTTAAAACTATTATGTGGGTGGGGTGAGGAATGTGCTGGGGGAGGGGTACAATGAATCCCCATTGACCTAGGAAAGGGCAACCTAGTATTGTGATGGGTTCAATAGATGGGAAATATCTGCTGTCCTGTCACCCAGTGCATTTCAGTGTACCGTGGTCTGTGAGCGCTGACACAATCCAACAGCAAAACATGGGCTTTCCAACTATGAGGCTTGTGAAATGTTCCCTAAAAACACTTCCTTATTCTGTACTTAGGGATTTTTGTTTGTTTGTTTGTTTGCTTCTCACTCCCCAGTGAACCTAAATGACAGGTATTTTGCAAATTGTCTTTGGGATTTGGTTCCTGTTGAATAGGTTTTGTGCCACCTAAAGGCACGCATTGTTTTTTGCTGAACAGTTTAGTCAGAGCTGCAGTTGAAAGACATTTATTTCCTCCTCCCAGAATGTTTTCCTGTTACAAAAATGTTAACCTTGAGTTTGAGAGGTGCATGTTAGCAGAAAGAATCCAGAAACTTCTAAGACAGCCTAGGGGTAACACTCTCTGCACTCCATCATGACCGAAAGAACTCCATCTTAGAGGCCTATGACTGCTTGCTTTCAATAAAATTCTGTACTTAAAATTAACCTAACCACATTGTTAAAGGAAAGAATATGACGTAGCATCTTCCTTAACATCATGTTCTGCAAAATAGTTTTTTTTGTCAATTAAATGATATCCGGAATGTTTATGCAAGCATTATTTACAGGCCCTCTGGGTGTAAATATTTTTACTGGCCGTAGAAAATACCTTGTGACTGCCCCGTGACGATCATGGGACAACTGGAATGGCAAGAAATAGTGTCTAATCTTTTTCAGACAGAGACCACATCTTACTCTTCATAACCCCAGACCTAGCAACCAATTACTGAGCATCTACTATGGGCTCCATAAACACTGATTCACAAGACTGCTTGTCGTGTGTACAGTACGCGTATTAGCACGCTTTAAACTCGTTATCAAATAGTTCCCACCCACCAGTATTTGTATTATGAACATTTCAGTAAAACTGACATTTTTGGTATTAAAAACATGAAAACGTCTGGTTGTCATTAATCACGTTGAACAGCTGCTTCCTGCCACTTGCCCAGCCAGGCCGGCTGCGCGCAGTGAGGATGTGGAGGAAACGGCAATGGAAATCACCTGTTAGCATGCCCCCTCGGTTGTAAGAAAACAGCTCAAACAACAGGGTGTTATTAGTTTGTAGATTTCACCGGTAGGTGGAGACTGTTCCGAGCTCCCCTTCATCAGTGCATGACCTGGTCGACCCCGGAACTTTCCCACTCGAGAGGCCTTTCTCAGCCAATGCACCCAGGATATAAGCTTTAGGATGCTTCCTAGGCCTAAGGCTCCTACCTTTCAAAACGGGCTAAACGCGACCGCTGCCGGAGGCTCGGGCGTTCCGG